CCTGCGCTGCCAGGGCTGCCCGCCCCGTCACCATCAGCACTGCACGCCCCGACCCTCTGGCTGCGAGGATCCACCTTGAGGATGGGCTCCTGGCGCCCGGTGTAGGAGATCCAGACGTCCTCCAGCTGGAGGTGGCCCTGCAGATCTGTGCTCAGCCTGCCTGCAGGCTGCTCTGGGCTGTGGTTGGGGATGGGCTGGGTGAGGGGGCCAAGTCCCATTTCAGCTCCTCTGGACACAGACATGGCCTCATGCTGATTACCTGCCCCGCTCCCCTCATCCCTCCTCTGCCCACTCCACACTCTTTGCTCATCGCTCCATCGCACACTGCTGCTCCCTCCTCCCAATGCATTCACCCTCGCACTCCCTGTGGTATCTGCATGGCTTTCATATGGATACATGGCTCGAAACTGTCCCACTTTGGGCTGAGCTGTGCCTTACCCCATAGTGTACAATGCTGCTGCAACCACATTTTGAGGGCAAACACTCAGCTTCCATAACCAACCATGCACTGGGGCTGAGCTGCCCATATCCCACTTCCCAACCCACTCCTCTACAAAGCATCTCCATTTTATTCCATACAAATCCCAGAGCATCCCACGCTTCCCGTCCTGCAGCTGGGAGCAAAGCCAGCCACTGCTCCCCATGTCCCATCACATCCACTCCAGCTGCCCTATGGTTGTCAGCGCTGTAGCAGCCGGCTGTAGGGTCCACCACGGGTTCTCAGCTCAGCGGGTGTCCCCATCTCGGCCACTGTGCCGTGCTCCAGCACGACAACACAGTCAGCCTTCTCCAGCATCCACGGTTGATGGGTGATGAGCAGCACCGTCCGGTCCCCCCCGTTCTGCACCCACTGCTGCAGCTGTAGGACACACAGCTGCCCATCAGCATGCACTGTAGGGCCGGACCTTCCCCCCTACACACTGCTCAGTGCTCACCATCGCATCGCCATCCCCATCCAGAGCACTGGTGGCTTCGTCGAGGATGAGGACGGTGGGACGCCGCACCAAAGCGCGGGCGATGGCGATACGCTGCTTCTGCCCTGCGGACAGCTGCCCTCCTCTCTCCCCTACATCTGCAGGACGGGGATGGGGATGAGTGTGGTCAGACACCTGGGTCCCCCCCTGCTCCCTGCACTCACCGGTGCTGAAGCCTTGCTCCAATGCAGAGATGAAGTCCAAAGCACCTGCAGCCCTCGCAGCTGCTATGATCTCCTCCTCTTTGCAGTTCTCCATCCCATAGGCAATGTTATCCCGAATGGAGCCGGAGAAAAGCACGGGTTCCTGCCCCACCAGTGCCACCTGCCCCAGGGAAGATGCTGAGCCCCAGCACCACTTGGTGTGGCCACAACTCCTCCCCAGCCCCTCACCTGGCAGTGCAGGTAACGGTGCTCGTAGTCTCGCAGCGGCACCCCATCCAGCAGCACCTCCCCAGCCCCGGGCTCATAGAATCTCTCCAGCAGTGCCACGCAGGTGCTCTTCCCGCTGCCATTCAGCCCCACCAATGCTGTCACCTCACCAGGGCGCAGCTCAAAGGTGATGTCTTGCAGTACAAGGTGCTCGGGGCGAGTGGGATAGGCGAAGGATACTCGATGGAAGGTGACATGGCCCCGCAGCTTGGTGGGCATGTAGGTGCCACCGGTGCCCACAGCTCGCTCCTGGTCCAGGTAATTGAAGACCTTGCAGGCAGCTGCCGCGTTGCTCAGAAGGTCACCATAGGAGTACGCCAGAGCCTGCATGGCATAGCACCCAGGGTGGGGACATGGGGATGTGACCCCCAGGCACAGCTCCCAGGGTGGGGACACAGGGACGTGGCCACAATCATGGGGATCTGGTGGCAGAGGACGCATTGCCCGACCTCACCTGCACGCAGCTGCCAGCTTTTGTCTGGTAGAGGATGAAGGCGACGAGGCTGCCAGCAGTGAGGGTCCCCTCGCGGAGCTGCTGGTGCCCACAGTACAGCACCAGAGCCTGCACGGCCAACTGCAGCGCCTGCAGGGATGGGGCTGAGCGGGCTTGTCCCCATCCCACACAGACACCGAAGTGTCCCCTTATGCCAGCCTCACCCGCTGGATGAGGAGAAAAATGGCCTTCTCTGTGTCCCGCTGGTCCCGCAGCTGTAGGGTCTTGTCCAGTGCCTGGCTGTAGCGGTGCTCCTCTTCCTCCTCGCCGTTGAAGACTCGTACTGTCTCAATGGAAGAGATGGACTCCTGCACTGCCGCTCCAGTGTCGGCTGCTGCATCCAGCACAGCCCGCTGCAGCATCTGGAGGGGACAGTGGGTGTCAGCATCTATGGGATGGTCAAGTCCTCGCCATCCCACTTCCATTCCTGCCCTACTCTTTTCTGCCATCTCATCCTGGCTGTGCTGGACCCACAGTCCCCATTCTGCTCACCCCACTCCCACTGTTCCCATCCCATTGCTGTTGTCTCCATCCCTGTCACCCCATCCCCACCATCCCATCCCTGCCGTCACCTGGTGCCGGGTGTCGTAGACTTTCCTTGCGGCGATGGCCAGCGGCACTTCAAGCAGTGCCAGCATCGTCAGGCGCGGGGACAGCCCCAGCATGAAGGCACAGAGCCCCAGCACCTGCCCCAGGTTCCTCAGCATGACGTTGATGTTGAGTGCCAACACGTTGCTCGCCAGCGTCACGTCAGTGGTCAGCCGGGAGGCCAACTCAGCTGCAGGGTTGAGAGGGGTGAGCTGGGGTATGGCATGGGAACAGGGACAAAAGTGTCCCCAGTCTGTACCTGCTGTGGTCTTCTGGAAGAAGGCGAGATCCCGGTACACCAGGCTGGAGAAGAGCTGGTCACGGGTGCGCAAAATGAAGCGGAACCTGATGAAGGTGAAGAGGCCACCACGGCAGCCAGCAAACAGCGAGCTGGGAAGAAATTGGGGGTTGACCCCAAAACCCATCAGGGGTCAATGGAGAGCCCAGAACCCTTCAGACAATTGCTAAGGGTCAACAGAGAGCCCCAAACCCATCAAATAACCACCAAAGGTCAACGGAGACCCCAAAACTCATCAGGCAACTGATAGGGTTGGAAGAGGTTTGGAAATGGAGACCCTAAAAGCCACCAGACAACCATGAGTAGTTTGTGGGACCCAGGGACAGAGGTGCCCAAATTCACCAGACAACCAATAGGGGTTGGCCAAATCTGGGGATGAAGGCCCCAGATGCTCTTAGATTACCACCAATGGCGAATAGAGAACCCAGAAGCAATAAAATGACCACCAGGAATGGAAAGAGACCCCCAAACCCATCCGACAACCACCAGAGGTGGATGAGATTTTGTGGAGGGATGTGGAGTCTCTACCTGCTGGCAGAGGCCAGGCACATGAGGCCGACGGCAGTGGTGAAGGCAGTGAGACCGTCCCCATGGCGGAGGACATCCAGGGCCCTCCCGGTGCAGTAAGGCACTGAGGTCTCAGCCAGCGCAGCCAACGCAAGGAAGAGGAAGGCGCAGCCAAGGAAGGGCCACTCGGGCCAGGCGAGGACCAGCAGCCGCTTCAAGGGTACCCAGGCCTCTGCCTCCTTTGCCCCCACGGCTACAGTGGGGACCAGGAGGCTCCAGGTGAGCAATGCCACCACGGCTGTCCCGTGGGTCAGCACCAGCCAGTACGGCGTGGCTGTGGCCAGCAGCACTGGGGCGGCTCCAGGCAACCCCACGTAGCCCCGTAGGGTCAGGAAGATGGCTGGGCCCAGGCTCAGCAGCACGGCAGCCCCGTGGGGTCCCCTGGGGGCCAGCAGCCGCCCGGCCACCCCCAGCACCAGGAGGCGCAGCCCGGCTTCCAGCCAGGAGCCCACCCGGCCCAACTGAGCCAGTGCTGGGAAGAAGTGGGCCAGGGTCAACATGAGGGCCAGGTCGGCCAGGAGCAGCGTGCATGACAGGCGCAGAATGTGGGGCTGCATCATCATGGCTGCAGGGTGGGGACCCCCAGAACCTCTGATGCACAGCTGGACCGGGTGGGCTCCCGGGATGCTCC